CATTCTTCTTTCTACACTCATCAAGGAGTATGTGTACGTATGAGAATCTTTTTTTTCCCTAAATCAATACCTACACTCCAGCATACAAATTCAGACTCAAATAAGTAAAAACCTTGATCCTATTCGGTAGAGAACAATAACAATCAAAAATATTCAATGGATTTTCAACGAAGCTACTTTTGATTTCCATGAGTTTATCAGTAAGCATAAAGTAAAAGTCAATGTATATATGATACCTATTGAATATTTACTTCAATATCAAATTAGTATCTATAACAAAAATAAATTTGTAAATTGGCAAAATATACTTTCTTTTTTTCTTCTATTTTGAAAACGACACATTTATATGTTTGAGTTTGGTATCGTCATTTTGAACATACATTGAAAAACAAGTAACAAGAAAAAAATTTCAAAGGATCTCCTATCGTGTTTTAAAAAAATACGGATCTCATTTGTATTGTGGAAGAAATATTTACGTTTACTTTTTCGTTGAACTTGTAGGAAGAATACGAAGCCTTTCCTGGAATAGTCGTACTTTGCTGATTATCAATGATTATAACCTCAAATAGATAGTGAATGAAGTTGTTCACTGTCATCGATCGTATATTTTCGAACGATATTTACAATCTTACATTATAAAGAAATGCATATTGATGTACCTAATCTGTTTTAAATGAAGTTTCTTGCACGAAAATGATTTTTTCCATGGTTGCATTCACTTATGATACACCTCTCACGTTGAATGCTTTACTTCTGATAAGTTTAGTCGTTCTCAACAAAGTCCGTAGTTGAAAGATATTCAAATAAAATAAAAACAAGAGAGAAAAAAAGAAAGATAAGACAAGTAAAATGTTGATGTCTTCCAAAAGTAATATACGAATAATTCGACAAAAGAAAAGCAAGCAGTGTTACGTATGCAATATAGCCTACAATCGACCACGACGCACCGTTGAAATTTTTGGCACTATTTTGGTTGAAATTTATTAGACTGCGATAAGTAGCTTATTATGATGATTTGAATGGTAAATCAAAGTCATACAGATAGAACAAATAACACCGGATTATTGAGAAGGATCAAAACAACCATGATATCGAAATCAATTATCGACTTTTCTTTTAGCAAATTGATTGATTATTGTTTGTTATTTAGCTCTCTAGTTGATTTAGTTTTCTACATTCCTCTTATGCTTGTATTATTAGTCTAATGCATCTGATTTCTATGATATTGTCCATATTTTGAACATTAATTTACTTCCTCTTGGTTTCATTCTATTCATCGCCTTAATCTATCCAAGAGGCTACGAAAAAACTATCAGTATAACGTGGCTAGAAACATTATGAGAGAAGACATAAAATTATTAATATTAAACTTCTAACATGGGGCTGTCGATGGTAATCTTCGCACCGTTCAGCAAAATTTAAGAGTGATCGTGAACACTTTCTTGCTCATAAAAGTATGTCAGAATGAAGAATAGAGGGCTGATGCACATTTTCAGGCAAAAAGCTAAGACAAAAGCAACAAGTAACAGGGCTATCTATCAGGATGAGGTCAAAAAACGCCAAAATATCCAGTAATGCGTAAGAGTGAGAAGAAAAGCTTCGAGCTTCATAAAAGACTATCTATATGAGGGTATATACTATTGATCAACTCAGCCAGCAGCCAAGCAGGTAGAAAACAGCTTCCAATCACACAGTCATGCGCAAGTGTAAAAGCGAATACTTTTCTTGCCAGATCTCATTAATTCACAATAGAAGAAAAAGTTGTGTACCTCAGAGGAAGGCTATAGAAGCAATGGGAAGAAATTTCGGATAACTTTCACATATAGCATTTGAGGTGAATAATGTTCCATCGTACATCCTTGTGTTAGTCGGACATGACAAGTTGTAGTCCTCAAACAATTACTTTAGTAACACGGGAAAAATATTGAAGCCAAATATCAATGCGAACGATAGACAATCCAAACATTTGGCTCACAAGAGTACGTGCAAGGAAAACCGAAAATCTTCGCTGAATATACTATTACATTGTTGCGAGTGTCTAAAGTTTCAAGGCATGTATACTTGCAATTGACAGGTCAGAAGATTCGTATGAAAAAGGAATGCACAACTAAAGACTCGAAACAATAGTGTTTCTTACCGTTGAGGTAGAATGTGCCCGTAAAGCTTCGAATCACAAACATCCATCACTAAGAGGTCTAAAATCTATAATTTAAATTACGATTTTGTCAGTATGAGCGGCAATGACTTTTGACTGACCCGCATGAATAAGCGACAGACTCAAGACTTCACTAAGCGGATCAGTTCCTTAGGATCAATTCGAGAAGCTACGTAGTGGAAAAAGATCCATACCTGTCACTATTCACTTCTGTGGCTGGCCAAAGCATTTCATCTGTATCAATTGGAAGACATTTTCATCATATGCGTATGAATTATAGACAACTTCAACACTTTTGCAAAAGAGATCATATCGTTAGGATCGTTATGAGAAGTTTTTCCTCAGACAGAGATTTGCACCGGATAATATCGATAATACGCGCTAAGCACATTCTTTTATTTAGTGACTGGAAAAAACTTAGTGCTATACATTCATGATTGATAGAGAACAGTGTATCTGCTATGGGGCTGTAACAAGAAAAAATTCAGCCCTCGAAACACTTCAGTAACTGAGTTTTATGAATTGTAATGATACAGCCATGCCCTCCACAATGAAATGAAAATATTCATAACCTTCGATAGAAACCACAGCCATATTCATTGGGTCGAATAAATGGTCAAATAATTTCCTTATGTTTCTCAATCTGTTTGTTGACGCGTTCTCTTTTCTGTTAGACTTCACCTTTCACATAACTTGTGTCCTCTCGAATCATTTTTCTCTAGGCATTTTGTCTTCTGAATATTATAGCTTTTCTGTTTTCAATCTTGTAATCATTTTATATGCTGTTTAATCTGATTCAACTCGTTCATCATAGTCCTTATCCTTTTCAACCCCTCATTTTCTTTTCGCAGCTTAGGCGGTTGTATTTTCGCTTTTGTCTCAGTTCCCGATCAGCATGCAACATGATCCATTGTGTTTAGAGACTATAAGTGTGTGAGAGCGGTTGTATAGACCAAGTGTTCGAAGAAAGGTGTGTGCACGTTAAAAAATCACATTCAACGCGTGTAGCCGGCGTTAAAAGTACTTTATAAAATGGATTAATGTCAGCTAAAAGTTGATCGAAAGCGTGCACCATTGAAACGACGCTTATTTTTTCTATCACACAGGCGTATCAAATGTAACATTTTTACTTATGTGAATTAGAGAGAAAGCCTTCGGTATGTCAAAGGATGTTTTTACATTTTTCGTTTGCATGGGCAACGCAAAACGATGAGTTTAGTTCTCAATATTATATATGGTGGAATTAATAAAGGCGGTCTAATTTTCATCGGACAATTTGTTCCTCTCAAAATATGCAGCAATGAGTTACAAATGATTCAACTCGCATTTTAGGATCATTATTTACAACAAATAAATCCACTTCGATGGCGGCTGCACAAGCGATAAACACACGATCGAATACGAGTAGGTATACTTTGTGCAAAGTTCATAAAAAAACGATGCATAGTTGAAGAACTAAGCAAAATAATTCTTGAAAATAATATTTCTGAGACTCCGAATCGTATTTTACAAACGAATTTGAATATGAATAGTGAAATCCATTGAATTCCTTTCGACAGAAACCAGCTAACACTAATTTTTAGATGAAAAAACTCTGAAAGACAAATCAATTCGTGAATCATCTATTTGATCTCTTAAATTTTTGTCTGAAGTTCATATAAATCCTCGAAGGATTTAAGTTGATTAGTATCATTTTTGATGATTTCGCTAAGATTTTGCATTCGAGATAATGAACGAAATCATCCAATCCCTATATTTTCCTATCCACAGTTTAGATAAGATTACCAATGGTCATCACAGCATTTTTAAAAATGATCTTTCTTGGAAAACCTCCTTACAGCAATCTCAAGGCGCAGGTTTTATTACTGGCAGAGACTCTACTTTTTAAGATGTAATAGGTCTTAGCAAGAACTTTAACATCTGCCTGCAAATATGAATTAAGTAGGATTGGGAACAAGATCCTAATAGATGTTGCCAAAAAATGCTCAAGGAATAATTAGGATCGAGACTTAGAAGTGGCATACAGGTAAAAATCATTATGAAATCCTTTTTTTTTTTAGGAAACCAAAGATGATTTCAGAATTTTTATCTGCGAGCAAAACTTTTCTTGTTTGGAACGTGTTACGAAAGAGCATTGTAGAAAGTTTTACGAAGCCTCTTCGAGGAAGAACGTCTCATTGTAGTTCTTTTCCGCAAGAGACGAAGATCTCTTCGACAATGAAGATGACGATTTCTTGTCTTTCACGTTCATTGTAGTGATTCCCAATATTCCAGCCAATGCCCTATGGGCACAGAACGGAGTGACAGTTGCTGGAGGCCATGAAAAGGCAGTGCTATCAATCAACTTTGCATCCCTTGGGGTATCTTCATCGACTACCAAACGATGGTCATTGCTGACTGGGGCAATGAACGTATCATTCAATGGAAGATGGGCGATAAGAAGGGACAAGTAGTAGCTGGATGTCATGGCCAAGGACATCGATTAGATCAATTGCATAGTCCAAACAATGTGTTGATCGACAAACAGACGGATAGTCTCATTATTTGTGATAACGACAATCGGAGAGTTATTCAATGGTCTCGTCGCAGTGGCACAAATCAACGAGCAATTCTTTTCGACAATATCCATTGACAAGGACTGGCTATGGATGATCAGAGATATCTTTACATCTGTGACACCAACAAACACGAAGTCAGACGATACCAATTATGAGATAACAATGGAACTATCGTGGCCGGTGACAATGGTTGGGGTCCTGGCCTCAATAAACTCGACTGGCCAACCCACGTCTTTATCGATCAACAACAGGCTGTTTACGTATCAGACAGCGGAAATCATCGTGTGATGAAATGGGATAAAGGTGCAAAACAAGGAACTGTTGTCGCTGGCGGTCAAGGCGACGGAAATGCTCTGACACAATTGTCGTATCCTGAAGGACTGTTCGTCGATACGTTGGGTACTCTCTATGTGACAGAGTTAGGAAATCATCGAGTAACGCGTTGGCCTAAAGGAGCGAAAGAGGGTACTGTCACTTTGGGTGGAAACGGTCCAGGACAAGATGCAAATCAGTTAAATTGGCCGAGAGGTTTATCCTTCGATCGAAATGGCAATCTCTATGTCGTCGATAGCAACAATCACCGAGTACAACGATTTTCTCGGGAATAGACTTATTACGATGTTTACTTTTTATTTGTCCTTTCTATGAAATAAAATACGACGTATAGAAAAAAATGATTATTCAAAGGAAGCAATGAATTTCACTACTATTCTATTCGCATTCGCGATAAGAAACAACCCTGATAGAGCTGTGGCGGCGCGATACCAGTTCACGCACAGAGCAAACTTATACATGCATAACATGTGTATTAGCCTGGTAATGCTTGATCGTGTGCTACTGACATCAAGATTGTTCTTGGTCGAGCTTTTTAGGCTTACACAGAAGATCAGCATATTAAGGAGGACCTCGCAGGGGTTAACCCTCCCTCCCCCATTCTACTCGAAAAAGGCCGCTAACAATCAGTTACTCTCCATCTAATCCCATCTTCCTTCTCTCCCTCTATATTCTTTCTCGAAAACTTAAGTATCTGTTAGATGCAATAATAAGTGCACCTAAGAAAAAAATGTTAAAATTAATTTATTCAACAAAATATATTAATTTTACGTTTTACCAACAAGCGCCAACCATATTGTTGATTTTCTTGTTAATCTGTCGATTCTGTCATCTATTCTAAATGGAATGGATATGACAGTTTTGTCCGATTAATACCCAACAGTACATGTATCATTACTTGTAGCAAAATATAAGAAAAATCAAGATGATAGAAGTGCCCGATTAACATTAAGCCTTGCTTTCTTGTATATGAAAATAATGGATAAATGTCAATTATGATATAAACATGAAAAAATATCTAAAGTTGATGATGATTTTTATCCTTTCGCAAGGATGAAAGACACAAGCATCAATCTTCAATGAATCGAATAGCTAGATATAATATTAAAGATAGAAGAAGAATGACAATTCATTGACACAGAGTGATCCACGTGTGAAAAGATTCAACACTATGCTGTGATACACCATGCTTGTTTCTTTGTATAGCGTCAAATAGGAAGAATATTATATTGAAGTCATCATTGATTCTCTATTTGATGTGTGTCATTGAAATGAATGACTTTTATTTTCATGTTGACCAATAAATATTTAAAATATTATCTTCTCCACTTACGTCCAACATTTTGACAAAAATGAACATTGACAGATGCTTTATTCTGATCTATAGCTTAGTGTCTTGAGCTTTGGTACTTGTTATTTAGGAAAAAAAACATTGAGCGCATCGTTATCTTTCATTTCAAGAACAATTTGTAACAAATCAATATACCTTTCGGTAATACAGCAGTCATTTCTTAGAAATATCCAGGTAAAGAGAGCTGAAGAAGACGAATGAGTTACCAGTTCAATAATAAATGCCATATGTTTTAGAAAAAAAAATACTTTTTTTCAAATAAGTAGTATTAACGTAAAAATTTTGAAATAAACTGCATGGGACAAAAGACCCCAATCAATCAGATCGAAAGTGAATAGTTCAAATCAATATGTTTATGACAAGTTATCTGTAGACTAGAAATTGTTCAAAGTTCTAATCAAGGAACCTCTGACCATAATAAACGATAAATTACTTTCTATACATGCTTGATTGCTCTTTGTTTTATTGTTTTAATTATTAATGGAGACTGCGGATGAAAAAGCTCATTTCTGCCATAGCTTCCATGTCGAGTGAGCGCACAACTTTGTTGAGCGTATCGTAGAGAGAAATTTAACGAGTATACCATCATTCTGGTGTTTCCTGGTAGTATCTACGCTGAAAATCCTTTAATTGAAATTTGAAGATCTTGTCGTGATGGCATTAAGCCACTTCGTTTTATATGGGTTTGTGGCGTCTTCATCGATTTCGAATAGAACTTCTTCCAATAATACTGAATAAACCCATCGCCACATTAGAAGATCCTGAGTCCTCTAATCTATCTTATCGTTCATAAGAAGTCACTCATAAAATGCTGTTATGTGCTACAATCAAATAAGAAGAATTTGATTTTTAATTTTTCTGTATATCCTTGAAGATCAGCCGTTTGTATTGGACTTTAATTATTGAACTTGTAGTTTTTTCATCCCTTTCTGAATCAGATACTTGATCAATGTGATCATAATCGATATTTAGTGGTAGTAGATGAGAGTTTGAGCTTAGATCATTATTCATAAGAGATGTTTTATGTTTATACAGTTTTGAAAACAATCACATGGCTGATTGCTCATGAAAACAGAAGGATATCAATGAAAAATAACTTAAGTTGATCAAAACAAGTATTATATTTCACGTAGTGTATACATCTAATTCGTTAATTAAATTTTCTATTATTCAAGTACAGATCACCTTGAACATAAAAAACAGCAGAAAAATATTTTTAAAGCAAAGATTAGAAACACACATATGGAAGCAAAATATATAAACATCATAGTAAAAATGCAAAATCAATTAATAGAGGGCCATCTTCTAATTTATCTTTTGCGTTATTTATTCAATTGGGAATCTTCTATTAAGGGGGAGGAGGAAAGTGGAGGCGCTCTAATGTACCGAAGGCTTTATGTAAACGATGGCTCTGATTGTTC